GCGGAGCTCGAGGAGCCGTTGGGATGCATGGCCTGGCTCTGACCTGCTGCCGAGGCCGACGCCGCCGCCAACTCGGGCGCCTTCCAGTCCTCGGGCAGCACAAAGGCCTCCCACCCGAAGCGCTTCCGCACCTTCATCCTCTCGACGTCGACGTCGAGCACTGCGCTGTAGAGCAGCGTATCCCTGACCGTGTTGAGGTCCGTCGTGACCTGCTGGACGCGCTTGAAGCTGGCCACAGTGGCGATGTCGACCCAGCCCTGCGAGTCCATGCGCTGCCGGAGGAAAAAGTCGCCAAGCAGGTTGCGCTGCGAAAAGTAAAACTCGATCTGCGTGAGCAGCTGCTGCGTGCTGCCCGCGGGGACGTGGGCGCCCGTCTGGCTCGTCGTCTCAATCATTCCTCCGCCCTGGGAGAAGACGTCCTGCGGCGACGCGGTGTTGGCATAGTAGCGCGCCCACTGGGCCGACATCGGCGTCTGCACCTGACCGAAGTAGCCCTGTCCAGGGGCAGCGGTGGCGGCGGCGGCGGCGGAGGAGGGCGAGGCGTACATCTGGAGGTTGCCATACCCGGCCTGGTCTGAGCCGCCGTCATAGGCCATGGCCGTCTCGGGAACCGCCTCGCCCATGTAGGCCGGCACAAAGCCGGAATAGTACTGGTACTGGGCGCTGGCACGCGGGTAGGTACGGCCCGCGAGCGGCGATTCGGGGTTGCTGGAACCGTTGAAAGGTCGCCGTTCGCGGCTTGCCGGCGTGGCGTGAGTTGAGAAGGTGTCGGGCGCGCCACCTCGACTGCCGCCTCGGCCGCCGGGTGCCCCGCGCGTGGAGCCGCGCGCTGCGCCCCTGCCGCGCTTTGGCGTGCTGCTCCCGCCTCGCCAGCTGTCCTGAGCCGAGGCGTTGCTGCTGCTGCTCGGCGGACCCGCGCCTGCATTGGGCCTACTGGCGTCTGTCGCCTTGCTGGGCGAATGTGATGCGTCGTGCGTCGCGTGCGAAACTCGCGGAGAGGCGCGCGGAGACGCCGAGACGCCGAGCGCGCCCTGAGCAAAGTGCTGCGCCGACGCCGAGATCGACATGGGCTGCGCGACGCTGCTGTCGTTGCGTGGAGGGAAGCTGGCGGGCGGCGGCGGCGTTGCGGGCAGATGCGCCGGTCTCGCTCTCGGCGAGCCAGCAACGCTGTTCTGTCCGGAACTGAGCCCGCTGCTCTCGCTGACAAGGCCGTTGATCCGGCGAGATGCAACCTTGCTGCTCAGCGGCGTCCCAGCCGCGTTGGCGACGCTCTCTCCGCCCTTTGCGCCGAAGCTCTTGCCCGAGTCCTGCTGCGATGGGCCGGCGACTTGACTTCGCGCACTGGGCGGCCGCAAAGACGCGTCTAAAGGCGAAGCGCCATCAGCACCTTCCGTCGGGGGCTGAGACGTTTTGCCGCCCTTGGATCCTGCACCTTGCTGGCCCTTCTTTTGCTGTTGCTGCGACGCTTGGTTGACGCCAGCCTTGTTCGCCTCGGGCTTCGACTGCGAGGCCTTGCCGGCCTGCCCCTTTTTCCCGCTGCTCTGAGCTTGGCTGGCCTGCGAGGCGTTCGATGCCACGGAGGCGGCTTGTTTGCTCTTCTTGCCGCTGCCTTGAACCGCATGACCGCCATCTCCGACGGCGATCTGACCTGATGGACCCTTCTGTGCAGATGACGATGTGCTGGCCCGCTGCAGCGTCTCAGAGGTGGAGGCCTCACCCGCGCGAGCGAGCTCGGCTCTGCTTCGCTGTCCGTCCCGTCTGTCGGGGTTGTCAATGGTTGTCACTTTACCGGCTTCCGTCAGCGTCGTTTCTGGCCGGGTGCCGGGCTGCCTTGCCGCACTGGATGGCCGACGTTTCTTCTTGCTCGCCGATGAAGCGTCGACCTGGGCCTGACCGGCCAGGGCGCTCGGATCGACGAGCCGGACGGCCGAGCTGTTGTCACTGCACCCAATCACGACGGCAGAGGGGGCGACCGCATGCGTGCCAGATGGACCGGGCTGCTGCGACGGCGAGGGATATGCAGAGGGCGCGGTGGACTGTTGTTGTTGTGCCTGCCTCTGCTGCTGGCTCTTCTGCCAGACATTCTTGCCGGCGCCCCACGCCGCAGCCACCGCACGTTCGGCCTTCTTGGCCGCGAGCATGTCTGCCTCGCTCATGGCACCGTCGCTTCCCTGCAGGCCCCCGCCGATGCCAAACCCTTTGCCGCCCGGTCCATAATCGCCGTATTTCGGCATGTTCTGCCCTCCATTGAGCAGGTGGATCCGGGCGAGCCAGGCATCGTCATCCACCGCGCTGGGAGGCCTGACTGCTTGCAGCTCCCTCTCGATCGCAGCCTCGACGCTGGCCGTCGGCTCGGTTCCAGCAGCGACGCCACCTTCGTCAGGGGTCGCGTCGGCCGCTGCCGCCGTCGAAGCTGGTGTCGAACCTGCCAAAGGTTGCGCCGGAGCTTGCGCCGTCCCTGAAGTGATGGCCTGAGGAACCTCGCTGCGCGGGTTTGGCTGCGTAGCGGCAGCCTGCTTGGCCGTGTCTTGCTTGACGAGCTTGGCACCTGATGCTGGGGACTGTGCCTCTGGCTGGAGTGGCCTGCCGGCGCCTCCCGTGCCTGCTGCTGCGCTCGCCGGGACCTCGGCCGTTGCATCCCCGGGCTGAGTGTGCGACCTCTGGCTCGCACTTTCCACTTTCGGACGACCAGCACCGGACGATGTCGCATCCATCGAGCTGCTCGGTGCCGAAGGGTCGCCAGGTGTTGGCGTCTGGCCCTGTGCCGCGCCCTGTGGCAGCGAGACCTTGGCGGCGATCTGCGCCTTGGGTACGGCGGGCGCCGAAGACTCTGCGCCTTTGGCAGGCTGCTTCTTCTCTGAGCTCGCGGATCCGCCCGCGCTGCCCGCTTTAGAGGCTCGCTCCTGCTTGCCCTTCTGTCCCGAGGAGGCCGGACCTGCCGCGGACGGAGCCTTGACCTGTTTGGTCTTGGCGGTGGTCGAGTCCGAGGTTGACGACACCGAGGCCGCTGCGGCTGCGTTCTTGGACGGCTTGCTCGTCGAGCCAGCAGCGGAAGCTGCCGTCACGCTTGCCTTTTTCTGCGTAGCTGCTTGCTGCTGCCTCAACCGCTCTTTTTCGGCCTCCTTTTCGGCCAGTTGCTTCTTTCTCGCCTCCCATATGTTGACGGCTGGAGGCTTGGCCGCTGGCTTGGCGGCATCGGCACCTTGCCTTTGGACGTCTTCCGACTGCCTCGAAGTCTCAGGATGCTGCGGAGAAGCTGGGGGCTTGGCGCTGTCTGTCGCCGTGTCGCCCGCTGCGGCAGACGATGCCGGTGTCGGCTCAGCTGCTGAGCTGTCTGCGGTGGGCATGGCAGAGGTGACACTCTCGTCGTGGCTGGAGCGGCTCAAGGAGGCGAGGGGTCTCTGCTGCTGCGATATGTTGGCATTGATGATTCTCGAGGGAGCCGGTTCATTCTTTGGCGAGGTGGCGTTGGCGCTGGGCGGCGGTTTCGCTGCGTTCCTCAGCCGCTCGGCATACGAGAGGTGAGGCTTTCCGGCTGCGCTGGACCACGCGGACATGCTGTCGAGGGTCCGATGGAGTGGTGCGTGCGAGAGTGTGCGTGTGGCGAGGCGAGGGCCCCGCTATTCCTCTTCGAGACGAAGGTGCGCCGCTTCCAGTACTTCCTGCTCCAACGAGGTCCACGGCTGACCTGTCCGGACCCCTCCTCTGGAACGACGAGAGCGGGAGCCAGGCTCAGTAGGATGTCGAAAGCGGGTTCCGCGGCCACGGGTGTTGTGTATGCGCGAAGGAGGAGGCGAGTGCACGTGCAGCAGAGGTCGTGCGTGGCGTCGAATGTGTCGGACCGAGGCTGGGAGGAAGCCGGACGACTGTCGAGAGCAGGTTTGAAGGCTGGCTCAGGCGAGGCGAGCCGAAGCGAGAGTGGCAAGGGAAAGAGCGAGGTATGGCGCTGGGGCAGCGACACGGTCCGATGGCGAGCGCGAGTCGTGCGCGGTGATGGCAGCAGCGCCGGGTGTTGTGTCGGTGGTAGATGGCTTTTCGGGGCCGACGCAGCTGCGGCAATGGCGATGGCTCTGGATGTGGATCTGGACCTGGAGGCTGTAGAGCAGAAGTCGAGGTCCAGAGAGGCGCACTCAGAGCAGTGCAGGGGGTCTCGGACGATGCTATGCCGCCGAGGTGTCCGGAGTGAGGACGGTCTGTACGGTGGGGCGAGAGGAGTGGCGGGTGCCAGAGGGTGGCGAGGACGAGGTGGGTGGGTGGTCGGGAAGGTGGGTGGGTGCGCCCCGCGCCTCCGTGGAAAAACCTTCTTTGGCCAGGTGGAGCTGAGCCAGCAGCCAGCGGACAGCGGACAGCCGGCCAGCCTGGCGGGCCCATTACAAATGGCCAGCCCAATCAACCTTTGAATACAAGATTTTCAAAGCAAGCCGCGTCCCCAAGGAGATGGCCGTCACTCGACGGCCACGCATCGGCCTTTCGACCGTCTGGGCTCCTCTCGTCCTCGACTCAGGCAGGGACTCGCTCGGTCCTTGCAGGCCAACGACACGCAGGCAGAAGGTTCTCGGTGCATTGTCCATCGAGGGAGGGCAAGTATCTGGTATACAACGGAAGATCCTGGGGAGGGCAGAGAGACACAATCCACGCGACAGGGAGAGCGAGACAGAGACGGAGCAGGCGGTACAGGGAGAACACCGGGGCAAGGCAGAAAGCGGGACAAAGAGGGGCAGGTGGGTGCGGGGCAGGGGGGCAGCAGTCGTGATGTGGGGTCGGAGCGTTGGATCCGGGAATGAGGCCCGCAAAAGGATCCATGCTCTGGCGCGGCAGCGGCGAGCTTGCGCAACGATCATGTCGATCTCATCTCATCTCATCTCGCCTCATCTCGCCTCATCTCGGCATGACGACGTCGATCAGAAGGTTACCCTCTCGCGCATGTCGATGGGCCGGATCCAGATCATGCCGGGCCGGGAGCGCGCGCGGATCACGGCCCACGGCGTCGTCGTCTCAATCTTCTGGCCAGAGGCGTCGCGGGTGGGTGCGGGGGCCTTTGGGATGCGCGGCTGGCCGTCGGCGTCCATGACGCTGGCCAGCAGCCTCGCCTTGGTCTGGGCGCTCTCGGCGGGACCCGCGCATCGGCTAATGAGCTCCTTGGCGTGCTCCGCCGTGCCCTCGGTCTCGATGACGATCCGCCCGTGCCAGCCGGCGTCGACCACCTCGAGGCCCTCGTCGCTGATAATCTGCCCGGGCGTCACGTTGAAGACGGCGCGGTAGAGCCACTTGGAGATGCGGTACCGCGCGCCCTGCGGGTTGAACGTCTCCACCTGGTCCTGGACCAGCCGCATCGTCGAGACAATCTGGTCCCTCCAGGGCAGCACGTCGAGGTAGACGATCGGCTGCGCCGAAGACGACGAGCGGATGATGTTGTGGTAGTAGCTCGGCGCGTACGAGAAGGCGTTGATCCACGAGGGCAGGTGGCCCGTACGGTCAAACATGAAGCTGAGGTCGCGCAGGTAGCGCCCGTCGAACATGTACTTGCCGACGTTGCGCTCGTCGCCGATGGCGCAGTCCCAGACCACGTCGCCCCGCTTGAGGAACGACCAGACGCCGGCGATGAACAGCTCGCGCTCGCACCGCGAAAGCTCGGCATCGCTCAACCAGCCGCCCTCCTCGCAGCTCGGGACCCATACCCGGAACAGGGCGGCCCGGCCGGGCTTCCAGGGGCTCGTGATCCTCGGCATCGACCACGACGCCTCGTCGCCGGCAAACGTCGCCTTGGCGCCCAGAGCGGGCGAGCGTTCTGGAGTGTGGGTGGCGCCGGCCTGGCCAAAGGTGCCCTGGGTCGCCAGGGGCGACAGCTGCGACGAGGCCGGCTGGGCGCTCGGCAGGACAAAGGTGGGCTGCATGCGCAGGCGGGCGAGGACGCGGTTGTAGCTCCGGGTCGTGGCGCGGGCCAGGCGCGGGTAGCGCGGGTCCACCTTGTGAGGCGCCTTTGCGTACTCAGCACCCACCAGGCGGTACTCGGGCAGCAGGTCGTAGCTCAGCAGGAACGCCTCGCAGTCCGAGAAGCTCAGCGGGAGCGGGTCCTTGACCACGAGCGCATCGTCGCCCTCGGAGTGGGTCCAGGTCGACTTCCAGCTCTGGTAGCCCACCTGGCCGAGGAAGCGCGAGAGCACAATCTCGCGTCCGGCGAGCTGGCCGAGAGCGAATCGGATCGACTGCGACGTCTGACGCAGCGCCTTGACGTCGGCGTAGTCGAGGTGGCTGACCAGGCGTGCGATGACGTCCGGGGTTGTCGACGACCAGATCAGCTCGCCCAGGTCGCTGTAGATCGCCTCGTCGTACTCGGGCTCCGCCGGCTCGGTCGGCTCCTGCATTTGGCTGTGCTCGGGCTCTGGCGCTGCTGCCGTGTCCTCGGTCGGTGCATCGGCAGCCGCGTCGTCGTCCTCGCCTTTTCGTGGGGTCTCCTTTTCCTCTTTGGTAGCGGGCGGTCTGAGGGTGCGTACGATGCGCCGGTGGCTGACCAGCAACGTCGGATCGGCAAGGCCGTGGGAGCACCAGCCCCGGCCGTACGTGATTCCGCCCTCGCGGTAGGGCCCATTGGGCTGAACGATCTGATCGTCGCCGTCGTCACCACCGTCGACCTCGTGAGCGGCGCCTTCAAGGGCGGGCGTGGCTAGGGGCGTTGAGTCCGGAGCGGCTTTCCGTGCGCCGCCCATGACAGCCGCTCGGAACCGGTCGGAACGGTACGCGTTGGCATCCCTGGCCTTCAAAGCCTTGTCCTGCTCCTCTACCGGCGTCGTCGCCGTCGAGTCGGGGCCGGCGCCCTGCGATGCGGCTTGCTTCCACTTCTCGCCGTGCATGGCGTCGATGGCTTCGTCGGCGGGCGTGACGGGCATGTCGGCGCTCGACTCGACGCTCGAGGGGGCATGGAGGTCCGACCCGGTCCTCTCCATGTCTTGCGCGTCGGCAAACACTTCCTCGCCATCCTCGGACCCGTCGTCTGCGATAGAAAGAAGCGGGCCAGGTGGTGGTCAGCGTGGGTATGGCGGTCGCCTCGTCGTGTTTCCTGGACTCGGGACCTACCGGCATCTTCGTCCGACTCGGACAGGTCCTCAACCTCGACGCCCGCAGCCTGTGCCCGCTTCAACCTGCGAGCGTCGCGCCGACCCGCCTGACGAGCGAGGCGATCCTCCTCGTCGACCTGGCGACGCGCGTCGGCCAGCTGCCTTGCTTCGGCCTCGCTGGCTTCGATGGCGCGTTGCTTGGCCTCCTCCTCGGCGCGGGCTTCGGCCTCGATGGCCTCGAGGCGCTCCCGCTCCAGGCGAGCCTCTTCCTCGGCCGCCTGGCGCGCCCTTTCGCGTTCGGCCTCTTCGCGCTTCCGACGTTTCTCCTCGGCACGGCGCGCCTTCCGCTCCTCTGCCTCTTTTTGCTCTTGGGCCCGTCTTTCCTCGGCCTCCTTTTCTTCGCGGACGCGCCGCTCCTCGGCCTCCTTTTCCTCGCGGACCCGGCGCTCCTCGGCCTCGCGCTCGGCGCGCTCCTTGGCTTCCTTGCGAGCCGCCTTTTCCGCGAGGCGCTTCTCCTTGGCGAGGCGCTCCTGCTCGGCGGCCAGGGCGGCCTCGCGCTCTCGGCGCTCCTTTTCCTCTTTCTTGGCCTGGGCTCGCTCGGCGGCACGCTTCGCCAGCGCCTCTTCTTCCTCCTGGCGCTTCTTGCGTTCGGCTGCCTCGTGGCGGTCGGCGGCGTTGCGCGCCTCCCTCTCGCGCTCCCACTGCTCCGCTTTGCGCCTCTCTTCGGCTTCGGTCGGATCCTCCTTGGGCTGTCGGATGGTGCTCTCATCCCTTGAGCTGTCGTCGATCGTCTCGCCGTCGTCGGAACGATCTGTCCTGGGCTTCCGTGTGCCCATGCGCAGCAGCTTGCCGCTGCTGATGCTGGCCGCCATACCTCGAAGGCCGTCGCGCGCAGTCGATCTAGGGCTGCGCAAGGAGCCTCCCGCAGGGCCCGAGCTAGCCGTGCCGATGGCCTTGTAAGGGATCTGGGGCGAGACGGCCTTTGCCGCGCTGCCCGGCAGCGGTGCGACTTCATGGCTCGGCGACCACGTGTCCTTCCTCGAAGACTCGGCCCGCTTGTCCAGGCGGCCGACCGACTTTGACCGGGCTCGGTCGAGTCGGTGTTGGTGATCGCCGGCGCCGCTGCCGCTGTCGCCGCCGATCGAGTCGACCGGCACGCCCCTCTGCTGCGCCTGGTAGACCTGGTGCTGGTACGCCAGTCCGCTGAGGTGCCCAGTGGTCGGGGCGGGCATTGGCGGAGCATCCTTCCACTCGATTTCCCCGCGAGCGTTGCGGATTGTCGTTCGCTCAGATCCCTTTGCGCTGGCGATGCTCGGCGCGCTGCTCTTGCCAGAGACGGTCTTGAGCTTGGAGATGTTCTTGATGCCGGAGCCGGGACCGCTTTCGTAGGCGAACAGGCTTGGCGTTGTCGGAGGTTCGCGATTGACTGGCGCCGTCGCGCTTCGCGAAGGCGCGGGCAGCTTGGTGGACCTGGCCGAGCCGAGGATGGTCGAGACTGAGGACTTGAGGGGCGGGCCCGCGGCGACTGGAATGTTGGTCTTTTGCTGAGCCAGGACGGGCGGCGTTGCCGTGTTGCGAGATCCGCGGGGTCGCTGGTCGAGCGCGGGTTGCGAGAGCGAACGGCGGATGGACCTAGCGGGTTGGGGCTTTGGCGGCTGCTGCTGCCGGTTCGAGGCGTGCTGCTCGTTTTCGTCTTGGTAGTTCCTGACTGCCTCGATGGAGTGGGTGTCGCGGTCGTCGCCGTCGTCAGAGCCTTCGATGCGGTTGCGGCGCCTGCCCTTGTTGTCGTCGTGGCCGTAGTCGTCGACCTCGGCATCGTCGGCGCTGAGCAGGTGAAAGTCCTGTCTCGGGTCGCTCTTCTTGCTTCCGGTCCTGGTGCGGGGCGGCCTGGTCCGTCCGCCGTCGGCAGCGGCCCGTGCTAGCGAGTCGGAGCGGGGCATGGCCGGCGCTTCCGGTGCGGTATCGACGTCGAGCAGGTGGTACTGGGTGTGAGGGGGCGGCTGTGACCGTTGCTGGGGCTGGTCCGGAGAGGTGCGCCGGGGAAATTGTTGGGGGCCGGCGGTGGCGGGTGCGGATGACGGTGGTTGCGAAGCCAGTCGGCTGTCGGGGGCGCCGGCGACGGCGACGACGAGGCCTGTGGCCCGCCTCGCCTGCGCATTTTCCTCGTCGGCTGCATCCGCAGTGGCGGGGCGGGAAGAGCTGCGCCCGAGCTCGCTCAGCTCGTCTTCCATCTCGAGCGCCGAGGCGTCGGCACCCAGACCGACGTTCGAGACAAAGTTGTCTAGGCCGAGCCCAGAGAAGCGGAGCGAGGGCATCGGGCTCGCCCGACCGAGGTCCGGCAGCCGGGGAACCTGGGGCCGTTCCTCTTGGGCCTCGGCGGCCAGCTGGGCCTGGCGCTGGTTCTCGACGTCGCCCGCAGACGCCTTGCGCCGCAAGCCGCGGAAGGCAGCCTTCATGATTGAGTTGCGGACGGGCCGTGCTGGCGACTGGTTCCTCCTGAGCAGGTCGGCGGGTGGTCCGTCTTGGTGGCGGTCGGAGCGGCGGTAGTGGAAGTCGGGATGGGGCGTCCGTCAGAAGAGGATGCGCGAATGGCCGAAATGATCTCAGCGTCGATCGCGGGCGTGGCTGTGCAGGCAAATGGGGGCAGGGCAGGGCAAGATGATGGTGGTGGTAATGCTGGTGATGGTGGCGGCGCCTCGAGGGGGCGGCTCTACTGGAAGCAAGGCAGGGCCAGAAGCGTCGAGGTGCTGCTCCCAGCTGGGTGGACGCGAGCAAGCCGCTCGCTGGCTGAGGCAGGCTGGATGTCCCGCCTTTTGAAACAGCGGCAGGGACCGACACGACGGACCGACCGTGCTGCCGCCCGTCTGCCCGCCTGCCTGCCTGCCTGCCCGCCACGCTCCGGTGAAAGGAGGCTGCACTCTCGCCTGGCCTGGCATGGGGGGCGGCCAAACACAACGCGCATCGCCGTCGCCTTCCTCCGCTCCGGCTCTTCGCTCGCTTGCTGTCGCCTGGACCCGGCTGCTTCGCTCCCACGCCTGCATCGCGAGCAAGAGGCAGGCTGGAAGAGGCGAGCGAGGTTAGGTGAGTCGCCGTCTCTTCTGCCTCCCTGCTTGCTTGCTTGCTTGCTGCTTGCTTGCTCTCCCCCCCTCCCCCAGCCAGCCTAGCCTCTGCCTGGCAGGCCGGCCTGCGAGACCTCGCATCGTTTGGCCCTCGCTTGACCAGAGGCACGGGTTCGGTCGGTCGGTCGGTCGGTCGGTCGGTTGTTTTGCTTGCTTCGGACCCTGACAGCAGGATCGACCCTGCCTCGCCGCACTCTGCGGGCCTGTTGCCGCCCTTTCGACCGCAGTCGTTGTGCCCTGCACCACGCCACGCTACGCCATGTACGGAGCGGGGGGCCCAGCAGCATGCGCCATGGATCCAGCGACAACGGCCTGCCTGCTCGTCGAGATCGGGGCTCATCGACCTCCTGTCTGCTGTACATTTGTCGTGGCGATCCCTGGGAGCAGGCAGGCAGGCAGGCAAGGTTGCGAGGTAATCTGCGGGGACTCGGAGATCACGCTGGGTGCTGGACCCGCACCTGCCCTTTGTCTCTTGCTCTGATCTTGAACCGCCGCCATTCCCCCCGCAACGGACGCACGCCCGCATTCGCCCAGCCTCGCAACGTCCACACTCCGCCTTACGATGGAGGCATACCTAGCTTAGCCTGGGCTCCATCCCACGAGCGGGTAGCGGGCCTGGACTGCCTGCGCCCGTGTAGTTGCGGGTCCACGCGGCCCGCTTCGGCGCCGCCTGGGCCACCCGCTTCGGAACGGCCCGGCCTGGCCTGGCAGGAAGGAGAGATGCTGCGGCAGACAGCAGCAGGCGCTGCGCCGTGGCGCGCGCATGTTTCAGACAGGATCGACGGGCGGGCAGCGGGAGGATGACAGGCGACAACCGCACTCGTCAAGCCGGGCAACCGGGCGCGCTTACGGTACCGTACGTGATGGCAGGCCAAGCGGCTCAACCGATGTCTGGTCGCTTCTCGCGCGCTCGCTCGGGGTCGCCTGCTCCTCGCCCGCTGACAACTGAGTGCAGGCCAGGCTGCAGGTCCCTGCCGGTCTTCTCACGGGTGCAAGCAGGCGCCAACGCACGCACGCACGGCTGACCACGATAGCAACCGCAGGCACCACGGCATCGATCTGCGACGAGCAGAGGAGAGCACGACGCCGGCGACAAGAGCCAGGCAGGGTCGAGCAAACAAGCAAACGCCGCGCAGGGGCAGAGGTAGGGCGGGCCGATGCAGAGAAGGCCTCGCTGCGATGGTTGGCCGCAGGCCGGTCCCACGGCCCGTCGCCTCGGGCCCGCCGCGCGTTACGTTGGCCTTTCTCGAGCGAAGTTTCTCTTTTCGCTTGTCACGATTTTGCCGCGCTTTCGCGTAGAGAGCGCCGTCCCCGTCCGACAGGCCCGGCCAGGCTACGCAGGCGATCGTGCGGTACGTGAGGTCGACGAGCGGATCCGTGACATGACAACCGTGCCGATGCAGAGCCTCCTTTATCTAGCCCAGCAGAGCCCCACGCATCGGTTCCGGACCGGCTCCGGTTCCGGGCGTGGTGCTGACGCCTTGGCCGACGTCGAAGTGGCAGAAAGGCAGGATGGTACCAAATATGGCGACAGAGTCCTGGTCGCGCTGGAACTACTGTAGAAGACGAACTGTACGAGGGCATAGACAGACGGGGCGATAAACCTGCATCACTGGGGACCGGCGAGGAGGTCTTCGCCACGAGCGCCCTCCTCGAGGAACTTGACGACCTTGGCGGCCAGGATCTGCTCGGCGTGGAAGCTCGGGTGAAGGTCTGACGGTTTGAAGAGGGAGAGGAGGTCAGTCGCTTGCCACGACGACTCTCGAGGACGCGAGCCGGGCGCAACACTCACCATTCCACCACAGGTACTTTGTCGGGTGGCTGCAAGTGACGGTGTTGTTGCCCGTGCCGGTCACGCAGGGGACCTTGACGTACTCCATGCCGTACTCGCGCGGGTTGTTGTACATCCGCGAGCTGCACAAGGAGGAGGCGAGGACGGTCAGCAGGGTGATCCCCGGTACGACGCCACGACGGCCGCACTCACAAGAGCTCAAAGGTCGGGAAGGTGAGCACCTCGGTGCCGTCACTCTGCCACTTCTTGTTCAGCTTCTCGGCGAGCTGGGCCTGCGACTTGCGGTTGCCGCTCGTGTACGACTGGATCGTCTTGTTGACCACTCCGTTGGTCGAGTAGGTGGGCACGTACTCCAGGTTGATGTTCTCCAGGATGAGGAACTTTCGGTGGCCAAAGTCGTGCAGCGTCTGGATGCGACGCTCGAGGCAGTCGGTCTCCTTGGCCACGTCGGCCGTCGAGTTGTAGAAGCTAATGTCGTTGGTCCCGATAAAGATCGCCGCCCATGTCGTCGCAGGGTCCGTCTGGATCTTGTCCAGCGGCTGCGTGGTGTTGTAGTTGGTCTTGAGCAGGTCGATCTGCTGGCCGACGCTGTGAAAGTGCAACAGAAAAGGCGGTCGTCGCCGTCAGCGCCGCTGTGCTACCATCATATTTTCCGCGACGCGTCGCTCGGCAACCTTCTTCTCACTCATTGATAGGAGCCCGGGGGAAGACGGCGTTGTCGCACGTCGCGGCTGACTGGGCGAGGTTCTGGATGGTCCATTCGCCCTTGTACGCGGCCTGCACAGGAGAGTCCTTGTCGGTCGGCACCGCCTGGCCTTGCAGGATGCGAATGTACTCCGGCCAGCTCTCGCCACCGCTCGCGCGGCCCCAAGGCGCCGGCGGGCAGTACGGGAAAGGCCATTTCGCGCGCTGCTCAGGAGTGAAAGATTGTAACCTACTCGATGAGCATGCATCCGTGTAAGAGTCGCCGAATGCAATGAAGTTGGTGACATTCTTAGCCTCGTTGCGCTGCGGATGGTCGACGGCAGCAGCACTGGCGGTGCCAACAGCAGCGAGGGCAAGAAAGATGGAGCTGGTGGGGAATGACATCTTTGCGGCTTGAAAGTGTTTGAACAATGGCGAGACCCAGCGTCGAGCAGCCGGCAGTCCTTTCTGTTCTTATACGGTGTGAGGCACCCCGTCAAGAGAGTCGCAACAGGCACTTTCCGTACTGGATTGCACGGGTGCCACACACTTCAGCGGGCGAGTACAAGGAGGAAGCTCGCCAACGAGCAAGCGAGGGGAATCTATTGGAGACTCGGTGATTGGTGACCTGAGCATCGCCGGTGGCATCCCCCGCGCCCCACAGACCGGTGAGGCGTGAAGAGGACCAAGCTCGTTTCGGATACATACGAGTTCCTAGCGAGGCGGGGTCGTTAGCGCCGGCATTCTCCAGCCCCCAAGGCATGGTGCCCGATCCCGACCAAAGAGACTGGTCCCGATTCCGCACATCCTTTCCGCGATTATTCGGCCGACTCGAAGGACTCCCCGCTTCGGTGGAGGGGCCCCACCTCGAGTTCAGACAAGCAGGCGGTTGTGGCAGGATTGCCGCCGACGGCACCAGCATGTAACTCTACCTCTCTTCTGCCGGGGTCTCAGTCATGATGAGACGGGCGCTACGAAGAGAGGCTGCAGCACTTATCTCAAACTCTTCCTTGAAGCTGTACTGAGAGATTGCGGCCGTTCAGTTTTATTGCTACGAGGAAAGAGAGATGCGGTCCAACGGAGGTGCTGGCCAGGGGGGTCGTGACGGGGATTTCGACCGGATGTGCAGCTGCCCGAGATGGTGTGGCGTTTCGATCCGCGCTCGGGCGAGCTGACGGCCCTGACGGACCCGACCATGGTGCCGAACCCCAACGGCCTCGCATTCTCGCCAAAGGGCGACAAGCTCTACGTCGTCAACACCTCGCCCATCATCAACGGCACCCTGCCGCCCAAGTACAAGCGGCCCGCGTCCATCTACGAGTTTGACGTCGTCAACGAGGGCGGCATCGAGCGCCTCGCCAACCGCCGCCTCTTTGCGTGGCCCTGGACCGGCATCGGCGACGGCATCAAGGTCGACACGCAGGGCAACGTCTACGCCGGCACCTCGGACGGCGTCCAGGTGTGGTCCAAGCACGGCGAGCAGATCCTAAAGGTCTTCATCCCCGAGACGGGCGCCGTCAACCTCGTTTTTGCCAACGAGGGCAGGCTCGTCGTCACGGCAGAGGAGAAAGTCTACCTCATCCAGCTCGACCCCAGCGTTCGCGGCCCGCCACTCTGGGAGTATCCGCGCGACGCCAACGAAGAGAAGTAGTAGAATCAGTGTCTGTGCCCCGGTTGCACGCGAGTAGTCGAGACATCCTGATGCAACGGAGACAGGAGCGGGCCCGCCAAGTGCGGGGCCCCCGCGTTTGCATTTCGCCGCGTTCTAACTACTCAGAGCAGCGCGCTCTGAAGCCGATACGCCAGCGGCAAGGCGGCAGGGTTGTCCGTGGTCGAGAGCAGGTTGACGATGTCTCTGAGCGTCTGTGTCGCCGTCGTCGTCGTGTATAAGGTACCGCAAGCCGAAATCAGCGTGCATTCCTCCCCAAGGGATGGGCTAGGACGGAACGGTGCCGCAGTCGATCACTCACCCTGACACCACGGTCCCACGCGTGTTCAAACTTGGCCAGGAAGTCGATGGTGGCCTGCTGGATCGACGGCTGGGCGGCCTCGGCTCCCTTTTCCAGCTTCTCGGCTTCCCACCGGCTGCACTCGATCTGCAGCTGATCCCGGAAGCGCACGCGGTTCTCATGAAAGACTGAGACGTAGTTCATCAACCGGCTGTGGTACTGCCGGCCGTCGTGGAGACGGGAGGGGTCAAGCAAAGATGCGAGACGGTCAGGACGGCGCTTGGCGAGCACCCTCGCTCCTCTGCAGTGCAGGCGTCGACTCACCTCGAGGTACCGCAGATCAGTGAGCATGCATTCCTTCCTGCACCGGTTGAGGTACTCAAAATGGTCCTTCATGAACTGGTCGACGGTCTTGGCGTGCTCCATCTTGGCCTCGAGGTCGCGCCAGTTGGGCTCAATGACCTCCATCATCTGGAACGCCAGCACCTGCTGGATGAAGAAGGTCATACGGTGACGAAGCTTGAACACGCGCCGCTTCCACGCCTCGAGCGGAGCGTGGTCCCGGATCGGCGTGCGCCAGTGCGCCTCGTTGTGCTCGGTCCACACGTCGCACAGCGCGCGCTCCAGCATCTTGAGGTTGGTCAGACACCGGTGCACGAACTGCCATCGCAGGATGTTCTTCTTGGAGATGACGAGCGACACCGGAAACTTGACCGCAACGTCAAACTGGAACAGGCTCGACACGACCGCTGCAAAGTTGGGCGGGAAGGTCGGTCGACGCGAGGAGTGGGCGGATCGTCAGTGTAAGGTCGGCCGGACAGGATCGCGTCCGCCGTGCCCGCCAGGACTCACCTTCCTTGTCCTTGCCCGCCTTCTGCTTGGCCTTTTCGGCCTTCTGCAGCGCCTTGGTCGATTCGATGCCGCCCTTGATGTCGGCGATGCGCTTGAGCTGCTCGTAGGCGCCCTCGGACGCGAGCTCGACGCGGATGTCCTCGCGGTACGGGTCGTGGAAGCCGACCGTCGACGAGCTGCCCAGCACGGCGCCGAGGTGCGTCTGCAGCCGCACCTGGGTCGTCTCGCGGATCCGCTGCGGGTTGACCGTCTTGCGCAGCTCGTGGCCCGCCTGCTCGAGGAACGACATGAGGAAGTCGGACTCAGAGTAGAAGAGGAAGTGCTTGACGGCGCGCAGGCGCTCGATGATGTGCTGGTCCTGGATCAGCAGCCGCAGCAGCTCACTGTTGGCCTTTTGGTAGGCCGACTCGATGCGCCGGAAGAAGCTGCCAGGGGTGCCAGGGATGCGGGGGTGGAGAGGCTCTCGACGGAGTCAGTGTCGGTCGAAGTGCGTCGGGCTGCATCGCGTCGCAACTCACTTTTCGTCGTTCATGACGATCGTCTCGCGGTCCTCGGCCGCCGCGCCGTCGCTGCCATCGTCTGGCTGCTTGACCTCGAGCCCGCATTCGCGAATCACGTTGAGATACTTGCCGGCCAGCAGGATCTTGTGCTTCCACGGCTCGAGGAACGTCGGGATCTTTGCGCCGCCCGTCAGAAAGCCGCGCGTCGTGGCCTCGTCGCTCTCGTCGCCCTCGAGGTCCGCGTCGATGTCGAGGCCGAGCTGCCTCTGCCGCTCGCGCCGCGCGAGCATCGTCTCGTCGCGCAGCGTGTATCGCGTCTCCCAGTACTCGTCGGTCGGGTCCGACTCGAGGCTGGCGCGCGTCACCTTGGCGTCCTCCATGACCATGAACTCCTCATATGTGTCCGACAGATCGCCCGTCGTGATCCACTTGACCAGCGTCCGCGCGTACGGCTGCGAGGCGCGGTGGAACAGCGTCGTGTAGAGCCGGTGCGCCTTGGGATCGCCGCTCATCTTGGTGATCCGGGTCCACAGCATCGACAGCACCTCGCCGCCCTTGGCGATGCCGCCCTCGATGCCCTCCTCCTGCGGGTCGTCGAGGCCGAGCAGCGCCCGCCTCTCGCGCTCGAGCTGCGACGTGCCGCTGATCTCGCTGCCGTCGTCGCTGTCGCTCGAGTCGTCGTCGTCGTCCTGCTCAAACAGGTCGGCGTGCGTGATGCTGGCAATCTCCTCGGTCAGCGAGTGCACCATCTGCAGCGTCCGCAGCGTCTCCTGGATCCAACACCACAGCTTCTGCAGCGTAAACGTCGGCGACGTGGCCAGCTGGTGCTCGAGCTGCACCACGAGCACTTCGTAGTCCTGCAGCAGGTCGCGGATGCCCGAGCACAGCGCGTGGTTGACCGTTCCGTACTCGAGACCGCTGTCCATCTCGATAAAGGCGGAGATCGAGGTGAAGTAGGTGGCAATCGGCAGGACCCTCTCGGCCAGGTCCTTGAGCGGCGGGTCTACAGAGCGTGGCAGATGGCGGCAAAGGATCTAGGTCGGTAAGTTGCGGTGGTTTCGGCGGGCGAGGTCGCGGTGCCGGCACAAGCTCACCTAACGCGGGGTCGATGGTGAACGTGGCTCCCTTGAGCCGGCTCGCCGGGCTCTCGGGGTCGTAGCCCTCGGCGTACTGGATGTACTGGCCTTCGACTCCCTGTTATGATGGCAAGGAAAGGCGTGATCAGCTCGGCATCGTGCTGGCTGCGTGCGACGCGTGCAGTACGTACCAGCATGACGTGGAGCAGATCCTCGAGGATCAGCGCCTCCTGGATCTCCTTGTCGGCTCTCGAGAGCGGAATGGCAGCATCTTCGCTGTCGTGTGCGCCGTCTGCGCCCTGGGTGGTTGGAGCGGTAGTTGCGGCGGCGGTGCGGGTCGCACTGCTCGGCCCAGGCTGCGTGGGTAGTGTCGCCGGGCGTGTGGATGAGGACGGGTCGGAGACTGCCTTGACGTGCGGTTTCGACGACCCAGATGCCGTCCTGGCCTTGCGCGGGCTCGGCTGCGGCACTCTTCGGTTCAGTGGGTTGAAGATGAAGCTGCCCTCGTTGAGGAACGAGTCCGGGTGGGCTGCATGATAAGAGAGGATGCGGTGCAAAGGAGATGAGCGTGGGCGGAAGGTTGGCCGCTGGTAGCGCCTCGAGCATTCTCTGGACTCACCATGTCCCTTGCCCTTGAGCGACTTGGCCGCCGCAGCCGCCAGCGCCGCTCCGTCTGGCCCCTTGCCGGCGCCCTGGCTGAGCCCGCGCGAGATGGGAGCCTTGCCGAACCGTCTCAGGTGGAACTCGGTGGTGGTGCGCACCTTTGGTTCGCTCGGGTCGGGCGCACCTTCGTCGCCCTCTGCAATGACGTACGACGAGGTGCGGCGATGGCCTCCCTCCCCGAGCTCGGGGATGCTGTCGATCCGAGCGATGCCTGCCGTCTCCTCGTTGACCTCGTCGGGCGTGTCTGCTCGGCCATGCTTGGTGGCCGACTTTTGGACCGCCGCAATCCTCCGCGACATCTGGTCGCCGTCGGTGAGTCACGCAGGCAGGTCGGAGCGATCAGCCATCGCTCGACCTAGAAAGAGAGCCGCAGCGCACCGAGGACCCACCTTGTCAAACTGCTTGGCGCTCAGCTGCAGGTTATTGCGCTTCCGCATCGACCGTGCTGGCGTTGCAGGGACGCCGCCCGAGCCACCGCTGCCCAGGCCCGCGCTGCTCGTCCTGAGTCGAGAAGACATGCTGCAGGCGTTTCGCTGCGAGTTCGAGAATGATGTTGTGCCTCTATTTTGCTGCAGCGTATGGACAGCGGCGGACGTGAAAGTTTGCTGGTGAAAGGTCGATGAAGGTCGACAGCGGTGATGGTCGTTGCGGGAGGTGTTGATCTCGATTCGAACGGCCTCTCGAGTCGGATGTGGAGCCAGCCAAAAGACCCGCGCGACGCGTTCACCAAAAAGTCACCCGGCTGCCGAATCGGGCTGCACCCTGCAGCTCATCGGGAGCGCAGAGCGGGCTCTCCAAGGAGCTCAGGTCTTTGTATGGTAGAAGCAGGCATCAGCCTTAGTGCAAGACGACGTCCGCCGTTTGTTGCTGCCTCTGTTCGGTCGGCTTGTCCGGCTTCAAGGCCGGCCAGCAGGGAGCCAGCCGGCCCTTTTGAGCCCTTCGGCCTGCTCCGCGCGGCCTTGCCACCTCGCTTAGCCAGGGGCGCAAACCGCCCCCACCTGGCCTGCCTCCGAGGGTGGTCCGGTCCGCGGCCAACACAATATAACATGAGGCCTGCTCCCGCCTCATGGAGAGCGCGACGGCCCAGATAGTGAAGCAAGTCAGGCAAACGGGTGCACTCAAACCAGGAGGGGGAGGGTTACGAGGGGAAGACAGCCGTAACCACCCCGGGATTTTGGGATGGAAACGTGCCGTTCACGCAGAGGTAACAATCAGCGGGTGGTTTACCAAGCTCTCCGCCAGCATCACACACAGCCTCGGGAACATCCGACAGCCTTGAATTCTAAAAAGCTAAATACTGAAGTCAGGCAAGACACGCCGTGAGAACAGCCAGGAAGCGAGCGTGATGGTGTCGAGCAGCGTTGCAGCCAGAGTTTACAGCGCGCGAGTCGGAAGCATCCCGGGAGCAGCAGGTAGCAGTGATGAGGCAAAGGTCAAAGGCGCGACGGGGCAAAAGGCAAGAAAAGAAGAGCGAACTGATCAGTGTCTGCCGGAAAGCCAGGCACCGCCAGCGCCAGCGTCTTGCACATACCTTCACAGACGCACAGTTGGGCATGATGGCGGGGCAACTGCAGGAGGAAGGAAGAGCAAGCAGGGCGGCGGTCAGCGCTCAGCGAGCAGCGGCAGTCAACGACGGCAGCGAGATACAGTGGTCGGAGAGAAGGAGGGAAAGAAGCAGACGGCTAGCTTTCAGAGGCGCGCGCGGTTGGCGGGCTAGTGGGCTCGGCGCAGGCTAGGCGGGCGCGTGCTTCCAGCAGCATTCTCGGCTCGGCCGGTGACATCCCATGATGGTTCGGTCCTGAGCCGGAGCTGCCAGCACCTGCTATAGTCACAGGCATGGTCGACGGCGGCATAGCATGGCGTTTCTTGCCGTGGTAGGAAAGGGGGGAGGATTTTACCAGGGTCAACGGCCGTAGACCGCACCAAAAATTGGGAGGTTTACGTGCAGCCGTTTGCCTGATTAGAGTGTGCGGTGAAGCAATTCATGTCCTCTGACCAAGCTGAAGTGCCGACCAGGGACTCCTCGAGCCGCAACTAGAGGCGTGCAGCGCCGACGCTCGAGATTGGCGTGGAAGGATAATGTCGCTACGAATTCGACGCGCACCGCGCTCGAACAAGCTCATGCGTGAGGTGTCGGTCTGACTGCCGAGACAGGCAGCGCTGCGGGACCCAGCTCAGCGGCGGCCCATGCACACTCAGCCCAAGGCGAGGCCCGCTTCGGCCAGCCGCCGACTTCAGCGCCCAGGATCGCGGCCGGGCTGCCCAGCAGAGCTTCGAGTCCGGGCGCGCGGGATGCCCGGACGCCTAGAGGGCTGGCAGTGGCAGGTAGTCGACCGTGACCTGGACCGTGAGACTGAGCGAAGGCGTTTGCAGCCTGCTCGCCACCCTGGCGTCCGCTGGCCCGCCACTTGCTGCTTGCTGCTTGCTGTTTGCTGGTCCGGAACGCTGCCTCCCAATCCCATCTCCTCCCCTCCCTCCTCTCGAACCATCCTCAGCTCCTAGTCACCACCCTCGCCTCATAACAGCACTACCTTCTCTCAGGCTATCGCATCTGTCTTCTCGCCCCCCTCGCAAGCTTCGTGAGAATGACAGGCCGTCGGAAGAACCTTCGCGACTGGCTTGTGCCGGTCCAGGCGCAACCTTCCAACAAGCGCCACAAGCCCGAGATCATCACTATCGACGACGACAGCGAAGACGGTAGCCGACCGCGTCGACAGGCAGACGCAGCATCTTCGAGCACCCAGGCAAGCACGTCCGCGCGGGATAACGGCCAAGGTGACAAGTGCGAGACGCAGCCGAGTGGCGAGGCCTCAGGAAGCGGAGCCGTGTCGACCCGTATCGAGTGCCAGGGCAAGGAGCAGCAGCTCCTGGTGGTCGACTCTGATGATCATAGCCGCGACGTTGACGGCAAGGCGAACGACATGGCACCGGACCAGACCGCCAACAATGGCGAGCCCAACACCACAAGAGAAGCTACCTCATCCGATGCGCAGAGACGTCGACGTTCGCAACAGATGCGGAACGACGAATACGCTTACCTCGCCAGGCTCGCCTACATCGACAAGCGCCCGGCTACCACCTTTCCGATCGTTGTCAGGCAAAACGGCCTACTCTTCAGCACCTTGGACATGACAACCAACTTCTTGAAACGAAAGTCGGCGACGCTGCCGAAGGGATGGAGTTACGCGATCGCGACTGACTACCTCCGTATTCAAGCTCTTCGGGAGCTCGTCAGGATCAAGCTGATCGGGCTGGATCGCGATGCATTCGAGCAGCATTGCTCGAGTCAGCTGTATCAGTGCAACAGGGACCACCTTCGGGCGATCGGCGCATGGCGCCAGAAGGCCACCAGCGCCGTTCCGAACACGCCAGAGGGGCGGGCGGCGGACATCTTTGCCGCCGTCGCCGCAGCCGACAGCGCGGCACTTGTCAAGCGCTTGCGCTTGGAGGGCGGGCCCTCAGACGGGGCCTTTGTCGCTGCTCTCAAGGGCTCGACTGTCTGGCCGCCCCAGCTTTCTCGAGGCCTGGTGGTGGCTGGTGCCATCCCCGTCGCGGCGCCCAGTTCCGCCGCCACGCCGGTCGTCGGCACGCCCAGTTCCGCCGCCACGCC